TGTTTTGGTTGGTAAATATTTTCCCTTTTTTTTGGCAATTGGAAAAAATTCTAAACACAATGGTAAAACAAATTATCACTTTTATTGACAATTTCCATGCAAAACAAAGTCAAATGAATGGTATTCGGTATGATAATTTTTTATTTTATTTTTTTCAATTGGAACAAATTTTAGACCAAATGTAGAAAAAATTATTACTTTAATGGACAATTTTCATAAAAAACGAAGCCAAATGGACACTAAACTTTAAACATTTTCCATGAAAAATTAAATCAATCAAACACAATTAATTACAATTCCCAGTAAAACAATTTCTAAACAAATCAATTCCCTGTAAAACATTTTCTTTCCACCCATTTTCCACATTTGCAATAAAACGGACCCTAAATGTATTTTAGCTGAAATAAAAAGAGAACATGCTATAAGAGATCAAATATAAATGAAGTACAAAGAANGACACCAAACTTTCAACATTTTCCATGGAAAATTATACCAATCAAACACAATTAATTACAATTCTCAGTAAAACATTTTCTAAGAAAATCAATTCCCTGTAAAACATTTTTTTCCACCAATTTTCCACATTTGCAATCAAACGGACCCTAAGTGTTATGTATCGACCTACATGACAAATCTCTTGGTTACTAGTTAAGTAATAGTTAGCCTCTGTTTGGTAGGCATTTTTGTGGAGAAAATGTATTTTTTTTGGTTGATGTGATGGGGAATATGTGGTTGAAAAGGAATGAAAAATTATTGATATGATGAAAAATATAATTTTATTGAAAAATGTGTAGTTGAAAATGAGTAGAAGAATGATAATAAAAAATATAATGTGGCTCAAACATGGGCTTAAGTAAGGATACTACTTGCATGCCTTTTGAGGCAATAGCCTATATTCCTATGTGATGTAGGGCATCTTAACTCATCGTCAACATAGCCTTTGATGCCGCGTGACTTTGTGCGAGATCATTAGTTTTTTTCTTTGAGGTGATCTCTGGATTCATAATACTTAACGACATAATATGAATCTCCATGATCGAAGCGAGGGTGGTTGATCCTTAGCCCTTGTATAAATGATGGTTCTGATTTATCGAGTCACGTGAAAAGTTATTAATGTAACATTACTTGCAATGACAATTGAATGTAGACATTCTTTTACTTGTCTAGGACAGTTTGTTGGATCGTTGATCTATTGATGCCTAGAAAGGGACATGTTGGCATGATGGAATTTGACTAGTGAGTCATTGAATGAGACCACATGTCGAGCATTTAGGGAGCCTTCGTTCATTTTTATCAACTATAAGGGAGTGTTTGAGCCCTGTTCTTTTTTAAAAATATATTTTAAAATAATAGATTGATGGAGAATGTGTGATTAAAATTTTTTTCTTTTAATTTGCGTATAATATTATTTTAATGAATAATGTGTAATTGAAAATAAGAGAAAAAAAAAATTTTGAAAAAAAAAAAAATCAAACAAGGCCTAAATAATAATACTTAGTGTTATCCAATGGTAATAAACACTTTGGTATTTTCACACACTCTCAAAATACAAACTCGACTCTAAATTATATTCTCTTCCACTGGCATCACTCCCACACTCTATACACTATTGTGCCTTTTGTGATTAAATTGAGTGTTGAATCGCATGCGGTCATGGCATCCCCCAATTCCTCTGAGTTTAGAGAGGCTCCAATCTTGCACAAGTAACGCATAGTTTCAAGTGTGCAGGCAACATAAACCTGAAGAGGAGTAAATGCGAGATCTATTAACGCACCGAGTCCCTAACAAATTCAGTTGTCAATATTAATAGACATGTTAAGTAGTAGACATATATAAATTTGGTTTATTTACTTCCTTTTGATCTTCCTTTTTATGGCTTTTTTAAAAATAAATGGCCACTGCAGAAACATAAAACATTGAAGCAACAAAGCATAAAAATCAGTCTATATTGACTCAAACACAAAATTATCTTAAATATTTTTCATGACAAATATTAGGAAATACTTGGTTTCACATTTAAGACTTGATAACATTCGAAAGCATTGAGATCGAATCCTATACTTCTTTCCAATTTCTATTGTCAAATTCGTTGTTTTTCTTAAAAAAAATCTAAGGATAAAGCCTTCACAGGTGCTAGTGGCACACTAGTAAAAGGGAAGGGAATCTTCTTACTGGAAAATTGCGATAATACTAACAAATCATACCGCTTACAATTATTCACTTCACTTAGTGAAAAGGGAATATGAAAGATACCAAAATAAAAGGCGAAAAAGAGGAGGAATTTGCACTACTTTTGAACCCACTACAATATTCGATACAAACTGGAGTCCTCAAAAAAAAAAAATGTTCTCTTAATTTGTTTGATCTACCACTTTAAAATGAACTTTTTTTTTTTAATCACCAGAAGTCACGCTATTTTGTTGGCCTTATCAGACAATATTATACAGAATGACTTTGTTACTTGTACATCACAATGTACATCGGGGTGTACACCACCCTCACATGGGGGAGAGACCCGCTTAAATAAAAAAATATTTTATGCAGTGGGTCCCTCCCCCATATGAAGAGAGTGTAGTCCCTTATTTACAAAAGTTGATGTACAAATAGAATTTTCATTTACAGAATAACATACAATTTTTTAATATTTTCCTTTATTTCAGTCCTTTTCAACTTTTTGATTCGTATGACAAATGTGCCCTTTAA